CAACACATTCGCCAGATTATAAAATCTCTGAGTGGAGCCTGTGTCCTCTCATGTACTTGCTTCAACAAGCTAGTATTGGACCCGCTCAGGTGTCTTCTCTTGCTCGCCATTCCACTCCATGGACTGGATACGTGCGATATTCTCCTCAGGTGAGCTTCCCCGAAAGCCCTGAGTTCCTCCAGCACTCCTGACGTCGGCGCCAGTGTCTATTGCTTATGCGTCGGCTAGGTGCCTCCCGTGTGCATGGTCCCTCCCCTGAGCGACCCCCACATGTCTATTTCCACTGTAAGCCTCTCTGAGCATGTGTCTTTCCCTTGGCAAGCCACCTTGCCACCCCTGGGGTTGAAATATTCCACCTGCGGCTGGACACCCTAGTGTTCTCCATATGCATTCCTTCTGGTCATATGTGTATTCTCTAAGTCCCCCCCCCCCCCCCCCTTCTGGGTTGGCATTAATTGCATATTTCTCTGACACATGAGATATGCTCCCCAGTGTACCGTGGTATTCCTGTGCTAAATAGGAGTCCTTCGTCCGTGCTAGTCTCACGACAGGGATCTCAGATTTACGCAGGGCACTGGAATACAGCTGTGAAGGTGGCGTGATTAGACTGGTAACCCCATTCGTCGTCATCCGACGTAACTCGGAGTGACAACGAAAGGGAACGTCTCGGTTACGTATGTAACCCTCGTTCCTTGAGTAGGGAACGGAGACATTACGTCTTCCTGCCACTTTCCGCTGTACCGCGGGGATCGCCTGAGTTCAGTCTCGGCTCCTCAGCGAAGAAACATATCTGCATGTTGCCGGCGTCCTCCTTTATACCCACGAGGTAAGGCGGAGATACGCTATGCAAATTCCGCAGACCCATGGCATTTCTTTGCCATTGGCTCGTTTTGTATATTCGAAGTCGATAGGCTTTCTAAGCGAAACCCCATTCGTCGTCATCCGACGTAACGTCTCCGTTCCCTACTCAGGGAACAAGGGTTACATACGTAACCGAGACGTTCTCTGTACATTTATCAATATCATCCTCTGTACTATAACTCATTAATTCTAACTCACATATTCTATTATACTTCTCCCAATCAGCTTTCTCAAATTTCCATCTATGTTGTTTTATCATCATACTCCTTTGTATTTCTAATCCTACCGAGCAAAATATTGGAAAATGGTCACTCCCAACTGATGACTGCTCTAGCACCTCCCATTGACATTTCACTGCTATTGATGCTGAAACTATTGTTAGATCTACGCACGATTTTATTTGTTTCCTGATGTCGAACCTTGTCCCACTACCATCATTTAAGCATACCAATAAATTGTCCTCCATATATTCTTCCACCACTGTGCCATTTTTATCTGAGTGTGGACTTCCCCATACCTGTCACGACACACACGGGACAGAAGATCCAATTTGCAGCAGTTTATTAATATAAGGGTAATCCAAATCGTAGTCTTCCAGGCAGGGGTCAAAATCCAAATAATCAAACTAAACATGAAAACATTAAAACAAAACACAAACCAACAAGAAAACCGACCAAGGAAGTGGTGACATCTAACAACGAATCCGTACACATACGAACACAGACAGGGAATATATACACAGATCTAACAAGACTAACAATGAACAGCTGGGAACAATGATGACGGGGAACAGCTGAGTGCAATGAACTGATGAGTGACAGTGACAGACAGAATGCTGGGAAATGAAGTCAATAGTGAAGGACACCGTGATAACGAGGACCTCTAGTGACAAACAAGGGAACACAACCAGACACTGTGACAATACCACACTGTGTGCATTAAAGTCCCCGCACCATATCACTATACCTTCTTCTTTACTCCAAAGATTATTTAATTCCATGAACGATATTTGTTCACATGGATTGTAATGATTTCCAGTACACGAGAGTAGATGTTAAAACTTCATGCTGATTTGTCCTCGGCTTTCGCCAAGGTCTGTCCTACGTGCTCTTCATTCCAGTTGGGCTGTTTTCATATGTTTCATCCATATGTGTAAGCTGCTGTGAGCAACCATACGCCTATGCGGTTTCGTGATGATCACCTGGTACATAAAGTTATTCTTTTAATGAAATATTTTACTCAATTGAGCTAACCAACTGATGTTTTTAGCAGGATATTGATTCCATTGAGAATGATCTGTCTTACTGTGGGCGTTGGGGTGATCGTTTTCTGCATAAAGGCCATTTAGACGGCGCTGCTGTTTTGCTGCTGTATTTTGTACGTTTTCAACGCTACTACCATTTGATCCGTTCACCGCTGCATGTGCCGAAGTTGTTTACGTGGGCTCACTCTTCAGTCATATTACTAATTGCAGGGTTCTCAAGTCTCACGCATTGGCCGTGAGACACACGCAATTCAACCAGTTCACACGCTCACACGCCACACCATGTATTTCTCACGCTGAAAAGGCAATGCCAACCAAGTTGTCCTGCAAGCTTTATATAACGTTGTATACGAGGCGCAGGCACACAAAGTGAAGTTTCCTCCCGCCAGCGCGTCCGTATCTCGGCCAGATTGCGTTCGTTACTAGGCAACATAGATGCGCGAGCGCGAACACGGAAGTTGACGGAACATTCTCGGCCACCGCGCGAACAAACGCACACACATTCTCGGCCACCGTACGTTCGTTACTAGGTAACCAACAATATCGCGCGAACACACATAGGCTATGAGGTAAGTTAGAAGAAAGCTTGTCTAACATTTTTAGGCTAGAGAACATTTAATATATAGCCCATCGTATACATTATTATTGGTGCAATCAAAAACTCTACAACTACTTTGCAACCAGGCCAGAAGCTTTGGCTAAGGGAAATGTTAGTGGCTATGGGAAGGAATGAAGATGTATTTCTAAAATTTATTTTAAATGATATATTATACTGTATTAATAGTCTTTCTAGTTACATTAAGGCTACATGTATTAAAGCAGAGTGCTCTGGGTAATATTTTATATCCTGTCAAAACATACATTAATCATTGCCATTGCATTTGTATTTTTCAAAGATTTCAGGGAAAAATGCAAAAAGAATTGTTTTTCCAAACTGTTTGGAGCAATTTGTTATATTTTTGTGATTTTGAAATATAACATTAAAGAGTATATTTGATGTGATGAATTGCTCTGTCATTTATCAGATTTACCAATTGTTATAATTTCAATTTGTGCTGGTTGATTATGAACAATGGGTAAAATTGGGGGGTGGGGATGGGCGGGGATCCAATGGGGCCCCTCCCCTTGGGCTCCTCCCCTAACCGCATGTGATCTCACTCCAAGCTTTTGATAAAACTTGAGAACCCTGCTAATTGGCTGCGTGTGTGCTAATTTGTCTGTTTCTTTACTTTGTTTTAGTTTTGATGTTGATTATTTTGTAATTGATTAAGTTGCAACCTTCTTGCTCTGTGATTTTGTTATTTTGTTTTGTCTACAAGTCAGTGCTCCCTTTGTGGTGAGTGTTTGCCATCACCAATCACTCAGAATTTTGTTATTATTTGTGGCTAGTATCATTTGTTCAGTCTATTCATTAATCTTTTTTTTGTTTTTATTTTAGGCTAATGGACCCTGGGTTGGGAGGCTAGCTCTTCTTGCCTTTTGGTGGTGGTATTTCAAGCACTGAGTGTGGTTTGCCGCTTATAACCGCTTACACCTCACTGGTTGTGTGTGTGTGCATGTGGCTTTTGGATTAGATACCTAGCTAGCCTACCCGGCTACGGGTAAGCCTCACACTGTTAACAATTTTCTTGTATTTTTACAGTACAGTACTGGCAGCAAGGTTGCCAGCAAGGTACTGTATTTCGATTTACAGTAACTGTACTGTAATTCAATTTACAGTACACACGAACAGTACTGTAAACTACAAAACAGTATTGTACTGTATTTTTACAGTATTTTTGTCATTTTTGTCTGCTTCTGTTGTAATTTATACGATATTGTACTGTAATATCTATATTGATATATTGATGCATTATTGCAAAACATTGTAATTTTCAAATTACTAATGATATTATAACTATATAATATGTAGTTATTACAGTATATAAATCTATAGGTAATAATATTATAATGCAACTTCAGAATAACTGCAAATCAAAAGACAATCCAAACAATGTTCTTGTCAAAAAAAAAAATTATTGATCAATTACACTATTAAAACCATGTATGGTGAACGCATTTAAGAGAGAGGTTGAGAAACTGCATGACTTGCAGCTGTAGCTGGACATACTTAAAGAGATACTCTACTGGTTTTTCATATTAAACTATGTTATTCCCTTAAATAAGTCGAATTGATGCATACCTCTCTTGTCTCAGTGCGTGCACTAAATCGCTGTCTTGCGGCGAAACTTTGTTAGATCTTATCTCAGCCCTGTTCATTCAATACGTGCCAAGAAGAGAAGCGACCAAACACCTCCACGTTTTCCCTATTTAAATACAGTGACACGAGTAGTGTAACTCGACCTAGGACGGTGACACAAAATAAAACGTTGTGCTTTTCTAAGCGTGTAAAATGGATAACTATATTGTATGGCAGAATACCATAGCAAGTGCTTGGGAGCACTTTGACTCTGCGCAGTAATATCATCTCTCGTGAAAAGTCCTCTCCCCCCGCTGCCTCTCCTCCTCCCTCTCATTTCAACGGGAGCGGACTTTTCACGAGAGATGATATTACTGCGCCGAGTCGAAGTGCTCTCAAGCACTTGCTATGGTATTCTGCCATACAATATAGATATCCATTTTACACGCTTAGAAAATTTTGTGTCACCGTCCTAGGTCGAGTCACACTACTCGTGTAACTGTATTTAAATAGGGAAAACGTGGAGGTGTTTGGTCGCTTCTCTTCTTGGCACGTATTGAATGAACAGGGCTGAGATAAGATCTAACAAAGTTTCGCCGCAAGACAGCGATTTAGTGCACGCACTGAGACGAGAGAGATATGCATCAATTCGTCTTAGTTAAGGGAATAACATAGTTTAATATTAAAAACCAGTAGAGTATCCCTTTAAAAACTTGGCTGGGATTTTGAGGTGGTACTGGAACCTTGGACCGATGACCAAAACTGAAAAAGACATGACACACAAAAACACATGACAAAATCTGTTAGCCACAGCACCAAAGATGAGCAGACAGACAGTGGAAGAGAGAAAATTCTGTAGAAAAAAAAAAAAAAAAAAAAAAAAAGTAATCTTTAGATTTTAAAACTTTAAGTTTAAAACATTGTATTAACATGGCTAATACTTACATAAAACTCCTTCCCAGGCTGCAAATTGTCCCACACTGTAGAGCTGTAAGAAATCAAAATAAATAGTATTCAGTTAACGGTTATGTGTTTCTTGTTAAGGAAATATCTCATAAATCTGCTTACAATACATCTAAGTTAGGTTAATAAAACATAAGCTTCACTTGACCTCTGGCATGCTTTTTGGCATGCAGTTTACTTGTCTTTGTTGCCTAATAGATCATTAACTCTGATAGTCTGAAGTTTTTCAACAATTTACACCTTTATTTATATTTTTAATTATTATAATAATCAATATAACTGGGTCTCCTGCCTAAATAGAAATGAAGTAAAAGGCTAAACTGGTACCAATAGCCAATCTCTCTAAGCCCATCTCTCTAAGCCCAAATAAATCACCCATTTTGCGTTGCAAAGGAAAGTGCAGTGTTTTTAAGCCTTATTTTCACGCGTCTTATTTTGTGTCTAAACGACTTCAATTTGGTCCAGTATTGATCATAAAATCATTAAGTTCGTCATTCGGGAAACGGACTGCAAATAGGCCTATAGCAGTTTGATCAAAATAACGATATGTCTATTATAAGTGCTTGTTTTTACCACTGACAGGCTCGGGTGTTCCCTACAGAGATAGGCCTAACAGTAAGACTAACATGTCAAATGCAGTATAATTTTATCTCGCAGACCATCGTAAAACACATTTAATTAAAACTCGACAGAAACAAAATAAAACTCACAAAAGACCATCTCGATTTGTCTTTCCACCGTTCCAACAATCACCAAATCTGTTTTGGACGAAATAAACCGTAAGGTAATGTTAATTCACGGAGTTATAACGTTAAATTTGAAAATGTCAGGACAAGCAGTAAAAGAGCAGATAACGTTAACAAACTTAACAGTGTTTTTGCAACCGTCGCTGGCTAAACTTCCACTGTCATTTCACATTAAAAGCTATGTAGGCTACACACTATAGCGTAAAATCCTTAAACCTTATTATAAAATTCAAAATTAACTTACCAAATTTCCAGATATCCGCAGAGTGAGATATCCGCGCTGAGTGAGTGAACTGCCGCAGTTGTGCTCTGACGTCAGTCAGGCGGCGCGCGCGCTCTCTGTTTACAGCAACCCTGTATATTTGCCTGGCATGTTACAGCCAGGTTACAGCTAGGTTACAGCAACACTAAAATGTACTGTAAAATGTTCCCGCTCAAACAAAATTACCCAGAATGCAATGCAAATTACGGTATTTTACTGTAATATAGAAATGCAGTATTGTACTGTAGGTTTTTACAGTACTGTGCTGCTAAATCTACAGCGAAAGTTAACAGTGCAGCCATCTTAATTAAATTTATTTTATTGTGTGTGTTGATAAATGGTGCTGTACTAGTCATTTGAGTGACATTCTGTTTTGCAGTAACCTGAAAGTTTTATTTATTGATGTGAACTTAATAAACTAACTTTTGTACTGATATCCACGTCTCTTTGCCCTCCATGGTAACGAACCTGTGTGCCCTATTTCCATTGGGTAGTTATTTCCCCATTTCTCTGAAAAGGGGTGGCGTAGTCAGCTTGTCAAATTTAATTACCACTATACGATTTGGTATTTGTCAACCGTTTACCTCCACCGCCACGCTACACTTACGTCCACAGAACTGTGGAAAAAGTCTGAACACTGTTCGTTTGCTTTAGGGTACCCACAAAGGGCATCTAAGCAGAGGCTGAGCAAGTGGGTGGTCGTCGAGGCCATCTCACTTGCTTATGAGTCGGCCAGTCAGCCTTCACCTTTAGCTGTACGGCTGCTTCCAAAGCATTACTGTCAGCAGTTTCCCTCCAAGATCTTTGTGATGTGGCAGGCTAGTCCTCACCGCATACATTCGTGATGATTTACTACCTGGACCTCGGCTCCAATCCAGGGGCGCAGGTGCTTTCGCCTAGATGTGCGCATTTATTTTACACAGACTTGCTCTTATGGTGACGTGGGTATTAGCGTTCCCACAGCGTTTTGACGCAGTTTGAGTTCCCTTGAAAGGTAACGTCACGGATGTATATGTAACCCTAGTTCCCTGAAAAGGGAACGGAACGCTGCGTCACCCTGACATACTCCCGGCATGCCCGTGATTAGCCGCGTTTCCACTGTCGGGCCAGAGCTAACAGCGAGCCGAGCCGAGCCAGTGGCCTCGGGCCTTAAGCACCGGGCTTGCGTTTCCACTGCCGGGCCAGTAGCCCCGCAGCGCTGCCCTAAACCCCGCCCCTAACACGCCTTTCTGAATCAAACGTCATACAACCCAACCCATTTCAGCGGGTGTTATGAATTTATTTATTTTTTAAGTTAGGAAGATAGCATGTATATTAACTCACCGGCCGTGGCTGCAATAGTGTCCCGACTTGTCTCGCGAGTCGCCACTAACAGAGGGACGGTGACCCAGCACACCGTCCATCAAGTCGAACCATGGAAAGTTCATTCTCTGGGCTCCACTTTGTCTATTGTGCGTTTTAATCGCCTTGTACAATACTGTGCCCGCAACTTTTTAATTTTTTTTCCGAACTTGAAGCGTCGCTGAATCGATGTATTTTATAACGTCCTTGTTTCTTCACACGCCGTCAAATTGACGTTGTACCCTTTCTTCTGCCCAAATGCTCAGAAGAGCTCTGGTATCTTCGACAGACCAGTACAGGAGATTCACCATTTCGAGCAGCGATTATTTTGCGCGATATAAAAAAGTGAAATGTGCATCTTGCCGCAGACCATAACTTTCCATAACACCGATGAACTCCGCCTTCTACCTTGAGCACGCCTTTAGCCCGAACTGGCCCGCTTTGGCCCAAGGTATTCGACGGGCCAGAAATCCTGGCCGTTGGCCCTGAGTAAGCCCCGATCAAGCCCCGGAAGAGACAGTGGAAACGCGACTGACCCTGGCACGCACTAGCACGGCTCGGCCCTGGCCCAGCAGTGGAAACGCGGCTATTGACTTGCTTAAGCCTATCAGAAGCTGATGCTGTTTGATTCAGGTGTGCTTTATAGTTTCCTGGTCAATGACGTCACATGACGTTCTTGAAAGAGATACTGACACTGTTTTTTCATGTTTAATACTGTAAAGCTGCTTGATTTTAAGCAATCTATTGTATAAAGTGCTATATAAATAAATGTGATGTGACTTAACTGGAGTGCTGAGTTAATAATAATCATAATAATTTGTTACATTTATTTAGCGCTTTTCTCAGCTCTTAAAGCACTTTTACATGGAGGGGGGGTGGGATCTCCTCAACCACCAACAATGTGCAGCATCAACCTGGATGATGCGAAGGCAGCCATAGTGCGCCAGAACACCCATCACACACCAGCTTATTGGTGGAGAGGAGACAGCTTATTGGTGGAGAGTGATGAAGCCAATAAGTAACTGTATGGGGATGTTGGAGGCCATGATGATGGATAGAAGCCAATAGGCAAATTTGACCAGGATGCCAGGGTTAAACCCCTACTGTTTTTTCGAAGGACATCCTTAGATTTTTAATGACCACAGAGAGTCAGGACCTCGGTTTACTGTCTCATCCGAAGGACGGCAGCTTGGAATAGCCGTATCTGTATGGCTGCATTTAAACTGCAAGGCTTAATGCACAGATCCAAACTTTTGACCATACACATTTTTTTTGTCCCACCATTTTACATTGACTGAAAACTGAAGATTCTATTGATTCTACTTCTACAAAAGAAGCTTTTTTGCGTGAGAGCTTACAAGCACCTGCTGCCTGCTTCATAAAGACCTCTCTTTAAGGAAAACTATCACTGTGCACAAGTGCGTCACCCTCGGTATCAGATACCTGGGCATTGGAGCTAATGTGTATCTGATTTTAAAGGGGTCATATAATGCCATTTTTGTACAAGCTACTATGATTATTTAGGGTCTAAATTAAAAGTTTGTAATATACTTTAATTCAAAATTCTCATTAGTATTGTAAGAAAACCACAATTGCAAGTGGCTCAGATCAGATGCGGAAAAAATCCTATCTTGTGTGGGTTTTTTTTGTGTGTAACAATATCTGATCTGTCTCAAATATGTAAAAAAAATATATATATATTTTTGAGCTAGTGTAAGCACAGCCAAAAAGAACACTATTTTATGCTTTGTGCATTGATAATCGTCTTTAAACGTCATCACATCCTAACTCTGCTTTCGTTGAAATATTGAAAAATTGGTCCCTTAAGTATTTGGACACAGGTTTGACGTCTGCGTAGATACTATATCAGGGTCTATGCAAAACATAGAAAACAAATACAAAAACTGCTAAATAAATATTTAAAAAAATATGTATTACAAAACTTGTCAATCTTAGATTTATGTTGAACTATGGCTTGTGTATTATCAGCTTTGAACTGTTATGAACTATTGTGTTTTGAACGAACTCTCATGTTTAATACCGGCTGCTAAGTAACCATGACGTATCTGTCACATCATAAAAATATAAAAGGCAGGACATCAGTCTGTACTGGATGAGAAGAACATCTCAAAATCTCTTGCATGCTATTTTAATATTCACTGGTTAGAAATTCAAATGTTTTTGAGTATCTAAAGAAAAACGCCTAAAGAAGAATGTTATTCATATTTACTCTTTAACATGACTGAAACTCTTTTTGTATTTCTTTTGAAACTATACTTCAACTTTTCCAGTTTTCATCACCTTGCTGTAACAGACACTGTCTGCATCTTTTCCTTCACAGGAGCTTTTTTCCTGTGCATATATGAGTACATCAAGACTTTAATTGATTTTGTCTTGTCCCTTGTTGATAGTGTATTTTAATGTGCTTGTGTCTATTTCTTTATCAGTGGATGGAAAATGGCAAATTACACTGTGAATAATGTAGACAGCTTCATAATCACTGGATTTGATTACCTGCAGAACCAAAAGCTCCTTGGATTCCTCATCTTAATAACCTACATGCTCATATTGCTTGGGAACGGCATCAATCTGTGTATCATCTTGACTGACAGACATTTACACAAACCAATGTACATATTAATCTGTAATCTAGCTGTTGTTGACATAATGTACTCCTCTACCTGCAGCACAACCATGATCTCAGTGCTGCTGGCTGAGATGAAAACCGTGTCATACTACTCTTGTATCTCAAGGATGTTCTTCTATCATCTTGGTGATTTCACAGTATGCATGGCTCTGACATTAATGGCAATCGACCGACTTCTTGCAATTAGACTTCCTTTAAGGTATCACAGCATTGTAACAAATGCACGAACGTTTCTGCTCATTTTTCTGACTTGGCTCATTACTATCACTCTAATGGGTGTTTTGACTTCTATGGCAGACAATCTCCCATACTGTCAGCCTGTTATCAGATATGTCTTCTGTGATTATCCATCAATGATCAGAGCTGCTTGTGTCAATCCTGAACCATATTTTTTCTTACCTGCAATGATTAATCTCTGGTGGTTCTGTGGACAGTTTCCATTTATTATGTGCACTTATGCTGTTCTGGCATATAGTGTGACTAAACTTTCCAATAATGCAAGCAAAAAGCAAATGATCAACACTTGTTTGAGTCACCTAATTGTCTTGTTTAGTTATTATGCACCGAAAATGGTCTCTGGATTACTAACTCGAATAGGAGTTGTGCTTACTTTAACAGACAGAAATGCAATATTAATTTTTTCCTCATTAATTCCCCCCCTAATAAACCCAACTGTTTATTGCACCAGGACTAAAGAGATCAGGAAACGATTAGCAGATGTATTTTTGCACAAAAAAGTTGCCCCAAATCATTTAAAGGGTTTATCATAATAGATTATTATTTTCATTCTCATGTCTGATTGTGATTGCTGTTTTACTTTTCAATAATGTATTTTGTGATGCTCCTGCTCAACTTAGAGATTATGCCAAAGCATAGACTGGTTGATACATTGTAGTGTAATGGACAGTATTTGATGAAATTCATGATGTAATGTACAACAGAACATCTTTCTAGAGGAGATTTCTCTATAGTTGCCGCAGAAAAAAACTTTGTTACATATTTGTACTTTGTCATAATTAGAATAATAATAACTAATTTACTTTGTAACTATACAGTAAATACTTTGTCAGATTTATTGTTTCATGTATGTTATGATCAGAGGAGAACCATCAGGGCCCTCTAGGCCGTCAGAAAGTGCCTAAACTATTGTAAAAAAAAATATTTACAAACCTTTAAATTAAGTGAAAAAAACTTCTTCTTCTTTTTTAAAGGCTAATGTTATTTTAGAAATGTATAATTTGACAATAAACATCTAAATCTTTTTGAGGAAATAAATCCTTCAAATCTGCCAATTCAGTTGTGTTGTATAGACACTTTCAACACACGTCCAAATACAGAAACGCGCTGCAAAAGTTAACAACACAACCAAATACAGAAACGCGCTGCAAATAGCACAGACCACAACGGAAATGTTTCCAGGGGACCCCAATAAATGTTCATATAAATATTTAGATCAATATTGCAAAATATAATATACAATATATACTTTTTTGTGAATGTAATAATTGGATAAAATATTTAAGAAGTTCAGAATGCATTTCTTGTTTTCTGATACATATGGTCTTTCTAAACTGTAAAAATATACAGTAATATGGTTCTAGTTTGAATCAATTTAATTTAAATATATAATTACAATTAATGGTAACGCTTTATATATTACAGCCCGGAAAGTACTGCTGCGTAATTAAAGCGATTTTACAGTTTAACTTTTGGTAATTATAGTGTACCTATAAAGTACTTACATGTAAGTATAAGGGAACAATATGTAAAGTTTGGGGAATAAATGGGTAACAGAAAAAAATATTTATACTGTAAGTATTATAGAACTAAGGGGTACTTATTCTACTATTATGATACAACAATCTTACATTTGAGAGCAATTTAGCAAGAACATAGCTTTTTGTAATAATGGTGAACCAATACTGTATAGGCTTTTTATAGGGTACATATCTATGCATTTATACAGTAATCTTTTTAACAAAAGTCCACTGAAACCTAAACCTATTGCAACTTTTGCTTAAATATTGGGGAAAGATACTCTTGTTTCATGTAGTTCCAGGGTAAGTGTGACATTACGGGCCGTAAATTAAAGTGGTGCTTGTTACCCTCTTGTTCCATGTAAGTACTGGGTACTGGGTAAGTACAATAAAAATACATACAATCCAATATCACTGACTCTTTATTTGAACCTTTATTTGAAAAACAACTTCATTAAAAACAGATTTACAACACTTTTTTTGTTTTGTTTAAAACTGCTTTTTTTAATCAACAATTCATTTCAAATGCTTAAGTCTTGACAGAAAGTAGCACGTTTTGTCCCCCCTTTTTTCTCTTGCTTGGCTTCTTCCTTTTGTTTCTCTTCTTCTTTTTCTTTCTTTTCACTGATGAATCTGAAGAACGATAAGTGTTTGTAAGAAAAATTACGATATTTTAAACTTTTTAGACTATCGCTTCAGACCAACTGTAATAAGTTGTTTTTCAAATAAATGTTTCCGAGTCAGTGATATTAGATTGTGTATGTATTTTTATTGTACTTACCATGCAAAGAAGAGGGTAACAAGCACCACTTTAATTTACAGCCCGCAATGTCACACTTACTCTGTAACTACATGAAACAAGAGGGTAACAAGCACCACTTATTTAAAAAAAATTCCAATCGTTTAGCTTTACTTGCCTTGTGTAACGAAGAGGCAGAGTCGTGCGGATCCATTCGCAGTAACTTTATTAAACAGAAAAGCACACAGAGAGAAAACAGGCAAAGATCCGGGAACCAGGAAAACCAGGGATACTTGGAAATGTTTCCAGGGCAAAACAAGACTTCGCAATGGACACAGGGATAACTCAGGCTTAAGACAGGTGCGCTAAACAAGATAATAAAACACAGGTGCTTAAAATCAACCATAATCAGTTCAGGGTAAAACATAATGGAAATAATAAACTAGGAAGGAGTGCCCCCCAGAGGCTCAAGCGGGCACTCCAGCCGCAGATCATCACACCTTGAAACATGAAAAAAGTAAGATTGTTGTATCATAGTAGGAGAAAAAGTACCCCTTAGATCTATAATACTTACAGTATAAATATTTTTTTTAATTCTCCTGGTTGTTTTCCCATATTCCCCAAACTTTACAAATTGTTCCCTTATACTTACGTGTAAGTACTTTATAGGTACACTATAATTACCGAAAGTTATGTTGTAAATTCATCTTAATTACGCAGTACTTTCCGGGCTGTAATCTAATGCGTAACCCAATTAATAATTTTTTAATCACACTTTTTAAAGTCGATACAAAAAGTGAATATAATAAAGGCATTCTGCAGCATTAGTCAATAGGCTCAATTGAGATCACCAAAATCTGTGCAGAACCGATCACCGGTGAAAAATTTGAAAAAAATACAATCATGATGGGGGACATGCCAGGCTGCACAGTCAGGCAGTTGCTCTCCCACCAACTGGACTGACTAAAGTTAGTTGGCATAGTTACAGTAGGATTTCCAGTGCCCCAGGAAGCCTCGGGACTCGCCAGTTATGGTATAAGTGGAGTTACCTTCCCGACAATAGACTAATCACAACAGAGGTGACTAACCAAAACTAAAACAGAGACAGAGGGCCCTATTTTAACGATCTGAAACGCAAGTGTCAAAGCGCAAAGGGCAAGTAACTTTGTGGGCGGATCCCGGCGCTGTTGCTATTTTCCCGGCGGGATAAATGCCTCTTGCGCCAGGCGCAAATCTAAAAGGGGTTGGTCTGAAGTAGCTTCATTATTCATAGGTGTGGTTTGGGCGTAACGTGAAATAAACCAATCAGAGCGTCATCTCACATTCCTTTTAAGAGCAGGCGCGCTTGTTCTAAAGCGGATTCCTATTATAACGGCGGATTTGCCAGGCGCGCGCCAGGAGCGTTCACAGCCGAGGAGAGCAACGTTCTCGTCAGGGCCGTAAAACACAGAGAAGTGACATTGGGAATGGAGAAACCCACCCAAATTAACTTCTGTTAAACAGGCGTATGATAATTTGGGTAAATGTGTAAGCTACATGTATGCTTTTATAATAAATTGTCTATCTATTTATCTGTCTATCTATCTATCTATCTATATATCTATCTATCTATCTATCTATCGTAATAATGTATGATTTGCAAAAATGAAAACTGCTGCTTAGATGAGAGAATCGAATGCGCGTTGTACACACGCTACATTGATTATGGTCAAGCATGCGCCCTTAAAATAGCATAATGAACAACGCGCAACGCGCCACTGACTTTAGACTAGTTTTTTTCTGGTCAGTGGCGCAATTGTTTTATAGAACAGCAAAATAGCATGAGGGAAAGTTTGCGCCGGAACACGCCTCCTCTTTGCGCTGAACCGCCCCGGGGAGCGCAAGTGTATTTCTTAGTTAACCAACGTGCGTCTGTGGAGGGAAAAGTCCGCTTTGCGCGGGTGCAAAATAGGAATGATACATGCGTCAGTGTACAAAGTCATTTGCGTCGGGTGCAAGATAGGGCCCAGAGGGTGAAAACACATGCAGCAACAACGCAAATTTAAATTATGCAAAATATACCCCCTAAACAAAATTATGAACCTGTAAATGAGCAAAATAGAGGCCTTTAAAACTTTATATTATAGTTAGATATCGTCATTGGAGTGAATGGACCTTGTAGACAATAAAGAAGCTGTAATGAAATAAGAAATTAGAGTTCTCTAATGAGCATGCATGGCTGTATTAATAAACAGTAAATTCATTGTTTTCATTCAGTCTTTTCCCAACAGAGACATTATTGACACAATCTATTATTCAATTATCTTAGATCACTAGTGTATTAAACCCTTGGAACCCTTTTGCCCTTGAGCAATGTCACTCAAATGGGACTTGAAGTATTCTAATAATATTATATTGATAATGATTAGATTTATATAGAGCATTCCATAAAAAAGCTCTACTGTACATATAAATAATATTTATTTATTTATCATTTGGTGCAGTCTTTATACCGAGGTACTTATGTAACCCCTCCGGTTCTACTCGCACCACTTCGAGCGGGATTCAAACCGGCATTGAAGGCAGGCACGCTATCAAGGATGCTAAAGGGTGCAGCCTCTAGTGCGCCTGTTATATCCCTACAGAACTTAAGGCAGTGACAATCTGCTTCTGTCTTGTTATATCATTGGCAGCATTTTGTGCTTCGCCCCATGAGAAGTGTAGTTCTTTCAGTTCAGCTTCCTTTTCCCATGTGCTACTTATACTGTAGCTACTTTTGGGATACAGTCCTGGTCCATCCGAAGGACATGCCCAAGCAATTTCATTCAACGGTGCTTGATCTTCATCACCACACTATATGAGTTGGTCTTCTTATATAACTCAGTATTTAAGATCCTAGAAGATATGGCAAATTCTCCTGAGGCAATTCTTGTGGAATACCTCAACTTTCTTCATGTTGCTCTTAATGACACGCCAGCATTTTGACCCATACAACCGAACAAATTTGACATTGCTGTTGTATAGTCTCATCTTTGTTCTGAACAAAGGAGAATTTAAGAGCTTTATAGCCTGGATCCCATGAATTAAGGATGTAGCTATGGCTTTTTCTTCTGTGTAGATATGATCAGTTCTAATAAACTTTAATTGAAGTAAAATATTAACTCTAAATAATATTATCTGGTGTTAATGCATTTATGCTGTTAATGTGTCAGCCTGGAATATCCTACATATAGGCTTACTTAATATTTAAATGGAATATCCAGTGTATACTCGTTGTATCTCTGTGCATTGGAGATTTGATAATCTTTTGTAATTCATTATTTTTGTGGTAAAAAAAAACATTGTGGCACCAAGATGTTTTACTATGAAGGGGGCCCTTGGGTATGCTATAGCCCCAGTGCCCTACATGTTCTTAATCCGGGGCTGAGGATGACACTACTCTCGAACTAAAGATATAGTTCACTCAGTGTAACCATCTTCTGAGGAATTCTGTAGGCATG